CGCCCCGGAGCGGCACCGCTGAGAGGAGGACGCGGCTGGAGCGGGCGCCGCGGCCTCGACTTCCCCGCTCGGGCTTTCGTTCCCAGCGCCGTGCCCTGGCAGCACTGAGCTGCAAAGGGAAAAGCAAGACCTTTGGGGAAGAGGTGAAAAGGGGAGCTGGGAAAGCAGAAACGGATGCTTGTTTTTGCTGGGAAATCTTGAATCCTAGCCCATAAAAAAAAAAAACTAGAAACACTCTTCTTAGGTTAGTAACTGCAAACAGTTTCCAGAATACTGGGAGGATCTTCAGCCAAACTCATACTGCAAGTCTGCTTGCATCAGGAGGAACCTAAATTTTAAAGTTATCAGCTCATATTTGCAGGAAATAAATTTTGCATTTTTAAATTTCCTTGTTTAGTCTTTGGGTTATTTTTCCTTATGCACCTAACATCCATCTTCCTCATTTGTAACTGAGGCCTCTAACTAAAGTATCCCTCATAACCGCAGGGACGAGGGGAATATAGAACCTATTATACTTAAAAGAGCTCATAACATTTTGTCCGTTTTAGCATACGAGAAGAAGTTATGATGTGAATAGGATTTCCTTAAGCACACAGTCCTATCCACGATGGCCTAGGGATATGTTCCAGGCAAGGATTTGTCAAGAGAAGTAATGACCTGTATTAGCATTATTGATATAGCTTGAAAAGAAAAAACAATAAAGGAAAAAAGAAAGGAAAAAGAAAAAGGAAAAAAAAAGATTAGTTTTCATACATACATCTCCTTTTCCAGGTCTTATGCAAACAGCAGTCGATATCATCTGCACCTAAGGCTCCTAGTGGAAGGCATGAAATTCTAATTTTTCCCTCAACAGGAATAGTATGATATTATATAAACAGTAATAGCACAAAATGATTCATGAAAGGGACATGGTAACTTGTGATAGCAGAGGACTACACCAGTAATTCAAAAAATACATATCAATTACTTTAGAAACTGGTAATGTGCAGAGGCAGATCATCTCTAATTTTAGAAGATCTTATAATCTAAAAGTTTTTACAAGCATTTCTAATAATTTTATGAGACAGACAACCCTTTGATGTTACTCCAGCTCCAGTAATTTCTGTATCAAATCATAATCTAAATGTTACCAGAGCACAATCCATCTTATTAACACTTTACAGACTCATTTCCACACACTCCCTTTCCTCAAGGCTCTGTTCCCCAAAGGATCCTTGCAACATTAAGTTTCTTAAACAACATTAAAAAACCTCTTTTCATTAATACTTCTTGGAGAGTGCCAAGAAACTCTTATGTTTCTGTCCTACAAGAAGAAATAACTGGTAGAGTAATCTTATGGACAATATTCTTTTTATTACATACAGACCAGCACTACCATCTAAATGAACTACTCCCAGGTGCAATTTGTTTTTTTTCTGGCTACAACACATCCTAAGAAATTATTTGCTGTAACATCCCAGGAAAAGCATTCTTCTCCTTCTATCATCTACGACTTCTCAGGCACTTACAAAAAAAACAAAGTATGTGAGGAAGTACATGCATCCGCACATATAAAAACGATGATGCTTTCTCTTAAAAGCTTAAGTTTTATGTACGACATGACTCAATTTCCAATTTTCACTTTCATAAAACATGGAAATTCTCCCCTACCACTTATAACTTTGGAAAATTTGACAACTCCTCGGATGTTTTTGCCCACACCTACTAACAGGGGGTGATAGTGGGAAAAGCCCGCAGATTCTAATGGATGAGAAAACCAAGCTTCTTATTTGAGAACAATATTTCAGAAAGGCAATTAAGCATCTCTGAAGTGCCATTAAGAGCCAACCCCCTGCTGCCTGCCTGAAGAGCGTGTCTACAGTCTGAGACCTATTGACCCCACTTTCTGCAGGAAATCAGGCAAATTCAAGCTTCCATAATTTACGCAAGTCTTCCCGACTTCTGCTGGGGAAAAGCACACCATACAGAGGCAATCAATTCAATGGTAACCTAATTAAATCTCCATCACGGCAGCAAAGTGCGAAATGGATGACCCAGGGATGGGTTCTCCCAGTCACTGCTCAAGAAACCAAGACGTGAAGGAAGATTTGCTCCAGTCCCATCTTTATTGACGCTTATGATGGGTTTCCACAGCAGCTTTCACTCACGGAAAGAGGAGAAAGAGGCGAGAGCAGACTGATCATCTATCACTCTTCTGTGACAGAGTGCCGACCTTCAGCTATGGATAAAACAATCCTTCACTCTTGCCCTCCCAGCTGATATCATTACAGGAGTCCGAATAATTAATCTAAAATTGATAGGGTGTTTACTGCGAATCATTTTTATGGGCAAAAAAGGATCAAGTTTCAAATGGCAGCTTTCCGAGAGCAATCGCACGCCGCTTCATCCTGCCACCTCAGTTGCTCGACGGCTCTTCTGCAGCCACATGAAAAGCTGAAGCAGCGGGACCTGGAACGGCAGCGAGGGCTGGAGACAGCCAGGAGCAGGAAAGAAGGGAGAACGCTCGGAACAGATACACGCACAGGGAAGATGTGCATTACGGCAGCTACCCCTACACATGCTTTCCACAAGTGTGCCTATACATGCATGCACTGCTGCACAACGTCCACTTAGCAGTAAGGTATTATCCTTCACTATCGACACATTAGCTATCCCTCTCCCTGCTGGTCATTAAATCCAGCTTGGTTCTGTTCTAGGAGAAGTTAATGCATTAAGGTCAAGATATCAAGGGAGCTGAATCCTTGATATGCGAGATGCCGAAGGCTGGGCTTGATGGGGAGCCTTCAGGTTAAATTAACAGAGCATGTTTAAACGCACCACTCTGAGCAGGATGCGAAGTGAAGGAGACAGAGGTTCCCAGATGTCGATCGACACAACAGGACTTAGAAGCAGCCAATCATTACAAACACTACAGAGCCTCCAACGCATTGACAAAATACCAGACATAACTGAAACTGGGTTCTAGTCTGAAACTTACTATTAGAGCGAACGCTGAGACCGTATAGAGAGCTAAAGAGAGTCACAGCAGACACCAGGGACGTCTGCTCCACAGAACGATCACTGGGAACACAAGGCTGGAAGAAGCTGCTCCACATTATAGAAGAGAGTCAAGAACTGCCCAGCTATCATTTAGTGGCAAAACATGGCCACAGCATTTTAGAAGAATAAAACGCCACTGTTCCTGTGAACAAGACAGTGGCTTTTCCTTCCTGTGTACTTAAAACAACCAGACTTAGTGCTTGTTACAATCAACATATTAGTGAAACCACACAGTTTGGATGAGAACAACTCACTGTCATTTAAAAGCGCAGAGGTGAGGAGTAGAGAGCATCGAACCGTACAGGAGCTAAGCAGTTCTCCCATATACCCGAGCAAAGCAAATATATACCCCTTACTTCTGTGGGTATGGCTTGTTCAGCTGGGTTATTCTGAATATCAAATTTTAACCTCAATGTGGTTCCAATTATGAATTACCAGACCAAAAAAGCCTTGATTTATTCTATTTTGCTCCAATTATTCGTGATATGTTTCTATTGAATACTTTGAGAAAGCATTTCATCATGCTTCCCATCCTCAAGTGGTCAAAGGGCAAAACCAAAGGAATTAACCCTCTCTGCTTCTCCAGAGCCAACCACAGGGCTGACACACTGTAGAACTACACACAATTCAATGGGAGACTTTCCAAGCTGGACGTGATCTTCACCCACAAAAAACCTCATTCTCCGGCTTTGAGCAGTGGCAACATTTCACACTTTTGATGACATTTATAAACACCCTCAGAAACGTGTCAGCTATGAGGCACACAGGAGTTCCTACCTATTTCACTCCAAGAGCAGAAATCTGATACTGTTCTGAATCATGAATTTTGATAGCCAAAATATATTACATAACTACAGCACTAAATCATTCAGCATCTTTTTTTGTTTAGCCTGTTAAACCTAATCAAGTGTCTGAACCCTTCTAACTTGCAATCTATTGGCTGAACACATTTATTGAAATAAAAACTCAGGTTGAGCTCTTCCATTCATTATTTCAATAATGTATCCAAGGACAGGTTTGCAGTTATTGAGAACAGAGTTCATATTTACCATTTCCATAATATTCACAGTATTTGGAAACCCTATGTTAACTTCTTTTACATTTAGTTGTAACAGCTTATAACAATCTTCAAACACTGCGAAAGAACTAGGAAAAGGATTTTTTTTTTTTTCTGGTCTAGAAATAGCACCTCCTGCTTCCCAAAAAAACCTCAGTGATTTTCTGCCATGCTGGGGCATAATCTGAGGTAGGAAAATGAAGTTCAACATGCCATTCATGCTCCCAAATCCAGAAAAAAACTGACAGTATTGAAAGGATGACTTTGTGAATACAAACTACCAGCTAACAACTGCCATTACTTAAAATAAAGCTGCAGTTACCAAGCCACAAGAGGCACCAGGTAGTGAAATAAGAAAGACAAGGACAGCAAGGAAGATAGCACCACCTCTGTCCAGCAAAACTTCACAGTTTATTTGGGTGCATCTCAGAACTAACTTTGCTAAGATTAAAAACTTGCATCTCACTTGCACGTTTGTGTGTCTACATCTGAACTAGTCTAAAGAAGAAGTAAAAAGTTTTTAGAGAAAATAAAACCCAATAGTATTAAATGACTATGTGCAGGTTTAACAGCTAAAATTTCATTAAAGTAGAACTTGAAATCCAAGTTCTGACTTTGTGAACCAAATCCAGAAGTTTGTTTTCATGTCTCAAAGAATATCGTATATGCTGAACTGTGCATGAGATACCAGATATATAATATAGGATAAATCTTTGGGCAGACTAATTAAGAAATTAACAATTAAATCTTGTTTCACAAAGGAAAAGAATATTTTATAGCTGAATATCTACAAATGATATATACAATTTGTCATAATATCAATACTGCAAGAGCATACTGAAAACCAAACAAAGCGTATGTGTCATCTAACATGGCAAATAAAGAAAAAATATACCCATCTTATTCAACCCATCATAAAAGGAAGCTGGCAATGTCACAGCTGCAAAGGCTATATAGAGATCTAATACTTTATGTTTGTGTGTATTATGCATATATTACTATACACAGGGACCTGAGCTTTTAGGGAAGAGTTTTGAACGGATTTGAACAAATCTCTGACTAACTGCAGTAAGTCATCTGCCTTATAACAGTGATCACATCCTGTGCATTTTCTGTTAATCTACTTACAGCTTCCACTTACTTTCTCTGCCACTCTGCGGCTCTACCTAAACTGCAAAATGGGATCGTGAGTGTACAGAAGAGCAGAACATTTAACATTTACTAAACACAACGTCACGAGGAGCAAAGAGGAATGACAAGCTCTGGGGGTACAGTTCTGCCAGGACATTTCACTGTAGTATGAATGTTAACTTACAGGTGCTTCACTCACAACCTGGCCCTGAGGCAAGCCCTAAGTAATTTTCTGTAAACATTTCAGCTTTGGAGTTTATTTAGAGAAAAATACGGCAATTTGCCTGTAAATGAGGACCATATCCAAGCCATCCTTAGTTATTTTGCCTTATTGGACTTACCATCTTCTGTTCCCCTGCATGTGCATGTATCTGCTCTCCATCTATAATTTCTGATCCAGGCTAACTGGAAGCTGCAGCAGTGCCAGGCCTGCACGCCAGGCTGCAGCTCAGATGAGACACACACTCTGGCTGAAGTGGAACGTTACTCTCACTGAAAAGCACAGACCAACTATGGAATTCTGACAATGGAATAGTGCAATTATTTAAAAAACATATATTTTTAAGAACTTAGTGACTTACTAAATTTATTAGCTGATACTGAATATTACCACCTTCTAAACTGCCTGAAGTTAGGCATTCAGAAGAATACATCGCCCAACAGACTATAGCTATAATGTGCTCTCGTCTTAAAGAGATAAAACATATTCAAAGTGAAAAAAAAATCCTAACACCACCCACAGATAAATTGCAGAGGCTCCAGTTATGCTTCTAATGAAAGAACAAGGGTCATAACCCAACAGCCTCAGCTGGTTAAGAAAAATAAGAGAGTCTGACGCAAGGAAATTTTTATACGTGCTCAGAGTAGCTATCAAAATGCACCGTTATGGACATCATAGGACCGAGCACTTCTGTTTTACAAGTTTAATCGCTCTTGAACAATTCCCAATCTGAATTCTATTTTCTTTCAGTGACCCCCTGAGAAAGGGTCACAAGCACTCTGTGTTGCTGGCTAATACAGAGCTTACACAGCCCATAAAGGAACTTTTTATGACATTTCTGTTCCATACTGAAGCAAAAAGTGAATTCATGCACATATTAAGCAATGTTCACAGACTAGGATAAACATCAAATTCTTTCAACTGAGACATAAAACCACCAAGGCACTGACCATTTGTGGCATGAGAGAGTCATGATATGAGGTGTTAACTCCAATGTCCTGGACATATTCCAGCCTGGCTAATTGCAGTCAGCCTTCTAACTTTTCTCTCCAAATGCACACTGATACAATATGCTTGTTTATTCCTGACACTGCCCTGGCACAGTATTGCTGTTATGTGTTTGTCCACAGTTTCAGAGTGCTGTTCTATATGTTGCCGTGTCTGTGCTAATAAACCTTCTGCTTAAAAACCTTTGGGTTGAAAGACTTATATAAATATTTTTTCCAAGTATATGTTAAAAACAGACGAATAAAAAAAAATAGAGGCCTAGTTGTTGCTCAAAGTAAAAATAACTTGCAGAGAAATGGATGGATGGATATTTTTGCTTGCATAATCCAAGGGTGTAAGGATGTTCTGAACCCCTTCTCATAGTGTAACTACTTTTTTGCAGCTTAATTCGATGAGTAATATTGACGGGTGTTATATTCACTCTCTAGTCAATGACAACAGTGAATTAAGCAACACAAAATCCTTTCTGAAGCACCGCAATGAGCTACTATCTCTTCGACAGCCACTGTTCCCTCTCTATCAATCCAAACAGTTTAAAGCACAACACTTCTGAGCTTCCAGAGAAACCCTTCCTATGTCATCATAGGGTGAGACAATTAACAAGCTTGGTTTCATTAGTTAAGAAAAACTATTTTTTATATTTTGACACAGAAAAAAATAATTAGTTATGAGAAAAAATTATCTGCAGGCTTTTATATACTAGAAATTAGAGCCAGGTGAGGTGCAGGTTAATCAACACTCCAGTGTTTCTTCTTGATCGAGCTCGGTTCAACCAGTGAAACACACTATTTCAAGGAGGAGAAAAAAAAAAGCCACACTCTAGAAAAATATGATCATCAGATTAGGAATTTCTGCAGGATTATATGAAGGAGCTTTACAGTTTAACATCTTCAGTATTTCCATTGCAGTTATTCATTTTTAAGAGCATTAAATTCACATTGAATTCAATAGAAACAATCAAGTGGAGCGCGTGCGTATGTGTATGCATGCATGCAAAATAAAGAAATAAACACTTAAATAAGCAATTTGAAAAGTGCAATAGCAAACATGAAAAGTTTGCATTTCACAGGCAGGACATAAATGAACTACTAGTGATTTTGCCAGTCGTCATAAAATATATTAACTTCATCTGTTCACAACACCAACACACAATTATTACCAAGTTTCATAGTGCATACCTCTTATATAAGGAAAAGAAAACAATTTGTTTTATGAGTGAATCAAACTAGCTTACCACAGCTGGGGGATCATTCCATTCTTCATAAGAAATGGCAGCATATGGGTAAATTCTATCATTGATAATCTGAAGAGTAGCAAGAGCAATTGCTTTCATTGATCGAAAATATGCTTCCCAGAACCATCTTGCCTGTAAAGAGGAAAAAAAAACAACTTTCATACTCCAATTTTAGTTTGCCATACACAATCTGTTTAATGTAGCCTACCACACAGGTGGAAATGAAATTAGGAGGTATGCTTATTGTAACTAGGATGTTTCCGTAGAGCCTGGAGACTTCAAATTCCACCCCTCCAAAAAAAACCCACCTTGCAGACAGTAAAAGGCAGAAGCAGCATTACTTTTGCAAGTGATTAAGCACAATGAGAATCCAGGTAAATACTTGAAGGAAACAGCTTCTTCCATGCTTGTAATACCAGTTTTTCTCCTCAAAATTCCCAAAGCAGTTTAACCAGAGGGCACAAGTATTTCCTGTTCTACTTAGTTTTTCCAAGGCAAGTGAATCCAAAGGCAGCCAAATAAAGGCATTGAGCCAAAAAGGAGCACCTTTTCATGGCAGTATTAGAAATAGCTAATCACCTAGGGAATCATAGTACTCCTGAACTCAACTTAGAAAATGCTATTTCAGTATTCCACAAACCAAGAAATATTTCTACAAGGAAATATTAACATTTTTACATAAAAGGATACATATAGACCACTATTAGAATTATTATTCTGGGTTAGTTTACAGCGTGGTAAGCATAGAACTGCGCGCGGAAGCAAAGCACACGATCTCCTTCCACACACACACACTGACTTTCATAGGTGAGTAATTTCCAAGCTAAGGCCCAGTAAGTTAAGGTGCATCCTGTTTCAGTTTCTATGTAAAATGGGGTTTTAGAAATGAAAATGCTAACAGATCTGGTTCTGCATAGAGACTTACACTAACTTTTTTAAAGCATACAACCATCAAACAATCCTGTAGGACCACATCCAACCCAGAAGTTAATATCCTTTGCCAAAAAAATATAGTTCAGGTCTTTTGGCCCAGAGATATGAAATTTCTCAGCTTATTTTTTTCTTCAGTAAAGCTCCAGTGCCTTGAAGAGTTCAGAAGGTAACTTCATCTACAAGCTCTCTAACATTCAGCATCAGCTGCAAGAGTATGCACTAGTATCTGGGCAGTAGAAGAGTTAAAACAAAAGGTATTTTTAGATAATTGGGATCTTAAAGAGGTTTCACAGCCAGAATAAAACACAACACACAAAGTGGGGCTAATGTTATTTTATTCTTTCTGTTGCATTTTAAAACAGCAAAAAGGTTCCCTAGAATAACCAGTTTTATTCATGTCCATGAGAATATTACGTATTATTCAGAATATTCATAAATACTAAGTTACTGGAGAAATACAAAGGTTTTGGAGTTATAGAGGTCATGATGAATTGATATTTCCTCTTGCTTAGCTGTAATCATGAGTGGCAAGGGTGCCTCGCCCTGCAGGTAACTACTTTTTAGGATAAAGATCCCGACACACACACATTTTGTCAAGTACTACAGCATTCTGCTAAAGAACAAGGTAGAGTGTTCAGGAGGTAGATGAGTATGTCCAAAATGTAGAGTCCTTTGGAGCTTTACAGGCAAAGAAATGGTAAGGCCATCTGACTCTCGAACTGAATAACTTATCTCACTGTATTTCTTTCTCTCAGTTGAATTTAACAGACCAAAAGATTATTAGTAAGAACTTTGGACAAAATTAATGTTATGCTCAACCATAAAAGCAGCAGAATTATAAAAACAAATAAGAATAATAATAAACAATGTCCAGCTTCCTAAAAAAAAAAAAAAAAGCACAAAATCCTAAGATACCTTCCCAAAATACCACAAAAACACTAAATAAAGCAAACACATTCTAAGTGAAGATATAAGCATTCCTTTCTCCTCTCCCAATTCTGCAGAAACATGTAATATTGGAAACCAAGTAGCAGGTGACCTAAAAAAGCAGAAGTAGATCAAGAATTACCATTGACCAGAACAGAGAATTAAGTGCTCTCTGTTTAGGCATCCTTATTAAATAGAAGCAGAAATTTAGATTTCAAATTCCCTCCTCATGTTACCTAACGGTTTGAGTAAACGTCTGCTATTAGGAGGAGACTAGCCTGAAAGACATATACATTACACATTAAGTTGTACAGGACCATGTATTTCATTGTCACTAAATGACAGTATTCCTATTCTGCCTTAATTCTGACACCGACCACTAACACTGCAACGTCTATGACTATCTGGCTTTGCAATAACCAACTCCCCTCTCCTCCCTTCACAATTCTGGAATGGATCTGAGCCAGCCTCTCTCTGCTGAAGAAACGTTTGCCACGTCAGGCAAGATTACACCTTTATACCTGAAGCAAAGCTGGAGAGGAGGGCAGAGGGAATTTACTTTTTATAGACTAATATTTATATAATTAATGTTTTGTAAAGAGCTAGAATATGTTCCCACAGTTGGTTGTAACTTTCTGGAGCTGTGTTTCTTTAACACAGAACTCAAAACCTTCTAAGGGGATTCCAAGTCTCCAAACAGATGTTTCAAGGTCTCATTACTTCCTCCCCACCTTGTTTGCTTTTATAAAGCAGAACCGATTAGCATGACTTGCTAGTTTCTGCTACTCAGCATGCTAAGCATGCTAAGTTACTAAACATTTGGGGACTTTTCCATTAAGAAGATGTGTGCCTATTCCTTTTTTTTTTTTTTTTTTTTCCCAGTTCGGAGCTTTCTACTTCAATGAATCCATTTTCCCTATCCACAAAAGCAGGAGAGTAACAGTTACGTACAGGAGAGTGACTTCACCACACTGGGTAGTGTTTCTCAGGTACTGTGAATCAGGGCTGTCTGCTTCAGCCTTCCACTTCCCTGCTGAGGCTGTCTTTCAATCGGAGACTCTTCTCTCTCCAAGAGGTGAGCTCCTGAAGCCACAGCTGCAAACACGGGAATGATGCTAGGAAATATTTCTAGAAAGTCTTTTTCTTTCAGCTTCTGCACTCTCAGATTGGCTATGGATGCCTACCAATTTCTATTAAAGCTAAAGTTGCTTAATATGACATAGAGGTGTTAACATGCACACTTAGGAGGGACATAAACAGCATTTTTAAGAAGTGCCTAGAAGCTTGTTTTAATCTTCTTTCTCAGACTGTGGATGGCACGGAAGGTCTTAGTCTCCTTCAAGCAAGCAAGTAAAGGCCCAAACCTCACCTCCACTTTTTTTTTTTTTTTTTTTAAGCCAGTTTTAGGATTTTGCTCAGGTGGCCTCCAAAGCTGCTGAGCTGGTGCCGCTCAGCCCGCACTGGCACAGGCAGGAGCTTGGGACAAAGGCGTTAGCAGCTCCTTCCAGAAGAGACAACAGAGAGCAGTTTGCAGCAAGAGGGTAGCCTACTTGCAGAAAGTAACATTTATTTAGGTAAGGTGTTATTTTCCTTAGAAATAAACACACTTGGGGGCCTAGCATCTCTTTACAAGCTCTTTACAAGTCAGCATAGGATCAGGTTACAGAGCCTATTCATATAATGTTTATAAGTTCTAGTGTTAATGCCACTAATGGTGCTTCAGTGTAGAGTGCAAGGCAGATCTATGTAAATCTTTTGATTAGTTTGTGAAAGAAAAACACTGGGCATGAGGCAAGGAAAGGAATACTTTCTGAAACATTTAGATCAAGGGCAAAAGTATTCCACGAAGGAAACTTTCTAGCCCCCTGCCCTTTCACAGCCCATGACTTGGTTGTAGTTGATAAAGTTAGCAAAGGGGAAAAAACAAGATTTTCAAAAAAAGTAGCCGTAAAAGTTAACTGCCCATAAACCACCAGTTCTCTCAGCTTCTAGGTCGGGCACCAGGATGCTCTAAGATTTTGCCCCACTGCAGGAGTTCTATGTTTCCAAATGCCTTGAAAACGTTTATGGGACCTTGAAATATTACCACTTTCACACTGCCTACGGTGACACGGTACTGGCCTGGAAACTGCACGATTTTAACTCTGGTTTTGCTTTTTACTCACAGGTAAGTGTCTGACATTCACTTACTCTCTTGATTCTAGCCAATCTCTCAGCAGTGCACATAACATTTACCTCACTCTGCAGCACTGCAAGGCTAACTTACCATTGTAAATTTAGGGGTGAATAAACCCACAGAACATAACTTTGTCCTTTCTAATTATTTGTGAAAAGAAACCCTAAACTCATAAAACTCATGTTTAGCCACCCAATACTACCAGGGCAACTGACTGCAGCAATCTTCTGCTAACATGTGTACCCTCAGGAGAAACATAAAGGATATTACAGGAAGTATCTACAGCCCTGAGCTCTAGCCAACAAGCTTGACCATTAACCTTCAGGCTCTGAAGTTACATGTGACACTATATTATAATCAAATGCCTTTTAAGTGACCGAGACCTAACAAGCTATTCCCCTCAAGTAAGCTATTCTAATCGTTCACGTGCTCCCCTTAGCTCCTCTCCATTGAGTGGTAAGATTAATTAGGCAACTGAGGTTCAAGATAGACTGAATTATCATATATTTGCCACAAGGTAAAAATGCACGTGAAGATAGCCATATATCAATCAGATAGCAAGAATGAGCTTTCAAGGCCCTTTAGCACAAAGATCATAAAGATCAGAAGTTCCTCTTCTGGAGGAATAAGCACCTTATACAATGCTTCCTGGGACAAACATTGTGCTCATATTGAGGACCTCATAACCCTAAATTCCCATCTATTTCTGCCTTGGAATCGCAAGTCGCCAATCCTGCTTTCTGGACAATCTCCCTGCTCCAACAACTCCCTTGATGATCCCATGCATCACTCTCACTATGCAGTTTCTTGGCAAAGATGATACCAGCTGCACAAGCTAAAACCAGTGCCATCCTTGCTTCTACAGACAGGCTTACACAGAAGCTCTCAGAAGACACTGTACAATTAAATGGTCACTTGTTTCTATAAAGTGATAATGATTTGGGATTTTAAAAAGTGTGTATTTGGTTTAGGACACTCAGGAGTAGCATCATACCACCCAACTCTACGTGCCTAAAGCTGTCTGGCTTGATCTTCTCTCTCTAACCACCATAAAGCAATGTAAATTCTGCACACACACATAGTACTTGGCCTGACA